GGGAGGTATTTCCATTACAGTGTAAGTTTGATTTTTCCTTCGTCACGTTGGGTCAGTTCATATCGTACTTCTGTGCCAACGAACAACCCTCTATCATAGTTTTGAGAAATTGGTTGTGGGGTTACTGTTAAAGCTAGAATTAATTGACTTGGGGGCTGTCAGTTAGTTGTCTCAGCCTTATCAATTACCTACATAAAGTTGTCAATATAATCTCTCTACGGAATGTTAGGTGTATAGTGGAATATACTTGAAGTGAAGTTGGCTTTTATTCTTGAACTGGGGCCTCCTCGTTTATATGGTCGTGCGGCTTCATTGGCAGCAAATAATGTAAATAACATAGCAATGTGGCATTTCCAAAAAGCAAAAAATACTGTATAGTGGCTGTTACGTAAATATTGATTTTTACATGCATTTTTAATCAACGTATCTTATAAAGGACTATGTAAGTTAATCTAGTTTTAAAGGAATATGACCTACCTGTCACGACAGTAGCTGCTTAAATAGTGTTTACTCATTGTGCTATTTTTTACAGCCAAAATGTCATGTAAAATAGATATAAGATAGTTCAATAAGAAATAATTAATTGTAAGATTTACTGTAATAAAAGGATTTTCCACTGATATCGTAATGGAACATTATAATGCAAAACATGACATGATACAGACCAAAAACAAATTTTAAAATCAGAAAATAGCATTGCAAATACTTCTTTTGGACTATTTAGTAACTCCCAATAAATGTGTGTTGTTTAGATTACAATTTAAAAATGAACAGCTGTTTCATTAAAAAGTGTTTTCCACATGGCCAAAATGTAAACAAATCTGTGGAGGGATCTTTAAAGGCTTCTGGAACAGAGCCCTAAGGGAATTTACTTAGTTTTTACTTTTGATAATTGATCTACAGACCAAGACCTTTCTTTTGACACCTCTACCAAGTTTCTACGCCAAGCCGTTCTCTCAAATTAGTGGTGACAAAGTTTCCAATTAAATATTTAGATTCCCCCATGTTAATCTTATGGGAGAAAACCCAACTTTGATGGAAGATCCTGCCCAAACTAATAAAGATTTCAAAAAACCAAAAACACTTTGCAAAACTACAGATCAGGGCAATTTTCTTGACACTTTAATCATCAAAATCGGTCCAAAAATGTGGGAGGAGTTCTGTTCACAAAAATCGGCTTAGCGTATTATATATATAGATGTTTACCTACTTAAATATATACTTTACCTACTTTGTAAAAAACAAAAAGAATATTGATAGTGAAGAAAAAGTTAATTTTATAAATGGCATCCATCCGTTTGACAAAAAAATTATAATTCTTAGCCCTAGGGCAGAAAGGAGTAATTAACCAAAACTATATTCCCGATTTGGCTCCTTTCTGTACAGTATATTGAAATAGCAAAATTAAGATCACTGTCTAAATACCTCCTCCCTCATCTTAATCATCAGCCAATCGTGAGTTTTTTTTTTACTTTAACTCCTAAATGCAGGTATCAATGGGTATTCTGTATTCATAACATGTTAATATTCAAATTAAAAACTTGTTCTTACCCATAAGCACAATTGTAAACCACAGAACAAAAAACCAGTATTAAAATATTATTCATTTTCACCACATATACTAATTTAGTAACTAAACATATTTAATTGATCACAATACCATTCTCATTTCTCACCAAATATTTTTAATACGGTTCCCACATTTATTATCTCCATTAGGAACAAACATAGATTAACTAATTAAAGAGAAAACAGAGAACACCAGATAAAGCACTAAAACTTGAACAACTTTTGACTTTGCGCTGTATTTGATTTATGGTCATTATAAGAGTACCTATTATTATTTGACATTATAAGAAACCATGCTTACGAGTTATTATTTCTTTTTGGCAAATTCTCTTATGAAGGGAAACATTAATTACATAAGGCCAAAAATGTTCTTTTATTATTTGGTAGGTCAGAAATAAAACAAACCCACCAGGCCTCTAGAAGGCCTCTTAGAATAAAATAGACTGATCAAATACAATTGTATGTATAAAAGGTTTGACTATCCATAGTTTCTTAACACGAAAAATCTGTCTAAAAGCTAGTGAGAGAACGCTATAAAATATTTACTTCTGACTACCCGCAACGTGCAACAATTTACATTATTTCTTGAAAATAAAATAAATAGAAAACATCAAAATCCCAAACCGTAGTAAACCAAATGAAAATTATCCAAAATGAAAGGTTTGCGTAGCCTTGAAAAAAAGGGTTACAATGAGGTGTTTTAATTTATATAACACCACTATTGTGTGGTCTACTATAGGAATGGTATAAGCTTTGACTATTAATACAACAACCCCCCCGTACATGCCGTTGTGGAGGTGATGTTTTAAAACACAGTGAATAAAGCCAAGTTGCCTTCAACATTCATCTGTTTTGTTTAAAGCAAAGACAAGGGATACATTACCCTATAGGTTTCCAAAAGTAGTCCAAGCATATAGTCATCAGAAGCTTCTGCTTGCCGCAGCTGTTTCAGACATGTTTTTGTGCACTAAAGTGTGTGAATATTGCAAAATCGTCAGTTTGCACAAGGGTGTTAGTGAGTAATGTTTACATTTTTAATTTTGTGCTTTATTTTATATAATTGAGCTAAAGTAACCAATCCAAACAATCCGAAATTTGAAGAATATGTTATTAAGATGCTAAATAACAGGATGTCTGAGGAAAATTTTATAATCGGCATTGAAAATAATAGTTTGCAATGTGGTGGATATGATAAACCTGAAGAACAGTGTTTGAACATAGTGGAAGTCTTGGTGGGGATTAGGGATGCAGACATGGCAGCTGAACTGAGTGGTTTAGCTCTACTTCAGAATGATAGATACATTGTTATGGATATTTTTTATTTATGGATATACTAGCAGAGTACCCGTCCTTCGTACGGGGTTGGCATACAAGTATAAAATGCTTATTACAGTTATGGGAGAGGACACGGTTTAAGAAAATTTGGTCTTTTAGTTTATAAGTTATCCTATAGTGTAGCACACATCTACCATAGCCCTAATGTTCTACCACTGCACCTAAACCATAGAAAAAACTAAAGTTCTCATTGTGTACCACAACATTTTGGCTCGACAGACGTTGTCCTGTCCTAATGTGGTTTTATGTCAAATGCTCGTTCATTTTCAAGATGAGCTCGTTCCCATCACTCAATCACGTCCTGGTTGAAGTTTGTTTGCTAGGCTTACTCACCTTTAGGTTGGAGCTCGTTCGCTGCGCTTACTTGCCTTCAGGTTTAGCTCGTTCGCTACGCTAACTCGCCTCCAGGTTGAAGTTCGTTTGCTACGCTCACTCACCTTTTGGTCATAAATCTTAAAAAAATGCTGCACCCTGTTGGTAAACCTATTTATTGAACATCACAGAATCAAATTGTTTAGTTAAACCAGCTGTTACGATTCTTTAATTCCAATTTAAATATAAGTACTCATAAGGTTGACATGGGGAAATACAGAGCCACTGGGGCGGAGCCCAAAAGGATTTTTGAGATAAGAATATGCCTAAATGTTAATCGGGAATATAAGCTCTCATCATGCCAAATTTCAGTCCAATCCGTCCAGTAGTTAATGAGTGAAAATTTAAAAACGTACGTTTTCATGTCCCTGGCCTTTTACTTCGTAGATACTGGATTTGTAGTTTATTATTATATGTTTTAATATTTTTTGGGACGGGGGCAACATGTTACACACATTTATTTGGTTTTAAATAGGTTCTAGGTATTTTTTCGTATTTTTAAAGTCTCGAAATTCACGACCATGACGTGTCCCAAGGGTACATTTTCCAACTTTCACGCTGTTTTTAGACTAATTACTCATGCCGAAATATATAAAGCCATATTTTTATGCCATCAATGGTTATTAAACTTATGTTTATGCGTGATTGAGCAACAAACACACACACAAACATACACACAAACTCACAAACTTTCAGATTTATAATATTAGTAAGATAATGTTCTTGACTGTATTATGTTTGTAAACAAAAATTCAAACCGCCATTTATAAACCAATCAACTAGATTTCACCATTGAGTAAGGAAATTAAAGCTTTTGTTTCCCTTGTCTATGATTACACATAACAAAAAAACTTTGTAATTAGAAATAAAAAATTAGAGCTTGTCAAAAAAACTTTAAATGCAGGACATGAATTTCAAAAATAAATTCCTTTAAACATTAAAACAGAACTAAACCCCAATATTGAAAAAAAGTCAGGAAATATTTAGTAGACCTGTGTGTGTTATACTCTTTAGATGAATTGAAATAGTTTTTGTCTTAGTTTTAAGCACGGCAATAGTTATTTAGTTTATTTGACACTATATTTTCAGTATTGTAATGTTTAACCATGCATACTTGCGAGTAATAGATTCTTGACATGGCTATGGCCAAGTTTATTTTCAAACAGTAATTATTTAGTTTGTTATAGCCAAACTAAAAACAGTAATCCTGAGACAAGAAACAACATGAAGTAAATAAGTTGGTTCTGTTCTATGATGTGCAATAGCATAAAAGTTACAAGGATTACCAACAGGGTGCAGCACTATTAATTTTTTTTTAATTTATGACAACAGCTAATTTCCAACCAAAAGGTGAGTGAGCGTAGCGAACGAACTTCAACCTGGAGGCGAGTTAGCGTAGCGAACGAGCTCCAACCTAAAGGAGTGAGTGTAGCGAACGAACTACAACCAGGACGTGAATGAGCCATGCGAATACTTATGAAGTTAAACGGGGCGAAGCCCGCGGGTACAGCTAGTAATCCATAAACAGTAAGAATTCTTAAATGTTTAAAGGCTTCTTTGCTGAATCATCGTTGTTTATTTTTAACATAGTTTTGATTGATTGCTTCAGTATTGTCAAAATTTTGTCTAGATTCTTTTTTGAGATAGTTTCATATACACTTATACCATAAGATATATGGGATTGAATTTGGGGGAAATGATATCATTTTTTTAATCACAAAAAGAATGGAGGTTATTTTATTCAAAATAAGATTAAAATATTGGTCCCAAACTCCCAAAACAAATTACTATCCAAGGTCAGAAGGAACCTTACAGCTTCTGATATTTCAGTTGGTTGGTTTTGTACTTCAATATTGGGATTGAAATTATTCTTATTTTGTTTTGTTTTGAAAGTGACACATTTAGTCTTACTTATTATTAAAAATATAAAAATCCTCAATACAAGCTATTTCTGTTATGGATAACAACTCTACATCTACTGCAGTTTTTTCCAGATACTTTAGGATTAGAGTAATCTGCATAGCTTAATGTAAACTAACACTATGACACTGATGACTGTGGATTGTCAACAACTAAACACTAAGTAGGTGTCTAAAACATGCAGCTTGTGATGTTGTAGAGGAGACTTCACAACCAGTGTTGTTTAACAAGATCGGCAGCCTTCTCTCCAATCATGATGGAAGGAGCGTTGGTGTTGCCTCTCACAATGTCTGGCATTATAGAAGCATCAGCAACTCTGAGGTGTCCCACCCCCTTCACCTGCAACTGAGGGTTGACCACGGACGTAGGATCATCAGCAGGTCCCATCTTGCAGGTGGAGGTGGGGTGGTAACATGTCGTCACAAAGTGTTTAAGAGAACAAATCCTGAAGTCTCTTGAAGACACCACATACTTGGAGCAAGCAGGAGCAACGATTTCATGAAACTTGGTGTCCAACGATTCCATAGCTTTGGTTGACGCTAGCTTTGATAGAAATTCAGTGGCACGTAAAAGTGTTTCCATATCTTCATTGTCCGATAAATAACCTGAAATAATTTTGACCTTGTCTTTTGGATTTGTTGACTTTAACAATATCCTCCCTTTACTGCGAGGTTTAAGTAATGTCGGAAATACCATGGATATAAATCTTTTTGAATTTAGTTCCAAAAATGATTTACCCACTTCTTCTCTTAACCCAAGCATTCTCAAAGTCATTGTAAGTGCAAGTTTATCTTTCGCATCAAAATCAAAATGATGGAATTGAATATCTGGGATTTTTGAGGAGATATCAAGAGTGTTGATGAAGCCTGAGTAGGTCAGCATTCCATTGCCTGATAGTTTACCAGATCCTGTCATTAAAAAGTCATACATATAGTTGGTAATCGGCTTAAGCTGACGAGAGTAGTTGTATGAAAATACCAGGCCAACCATCAACATGTGATCTTGTAGGTTGTGTCCAACAGGCAAGTCTTCTATCACATCAATTCCCAGTTCCTCCAAATGTTCTTTTGGTCCTATTCCTGAAAGCATGAGAAGCTGTGGAGAGTTTATAGCTCCAGCGGACACTATTACTTCCTTCTTTGACCTGACTCTTACTTCGGCACCCCTATAGTTGATAATTTTTACTCCATTTGCCTTCTTAGAATGTTTATCAATTAAAATTTTTGTAACTAGTGAATTTTTTGAAACTTTTAAGTTTTTACGGGTTTTGATTGGTTTTAAAAACGCTTTGGCTGTGCTACATCTTCTGCCTCCTACAATTGTTCCTTGCAGCTTAGAAAATCCCATTTGAGAATCTCCGTTACAGTCGTTGTTTGCTTTGTATCCGAGTTCTTCCATTCCTTCTGCGTAGGTGTCTACTAACTCTGACATATAGTCTTTTTCAAAAGTACCTACAGTTAAATACCCATCTTCTCCGTGATAGTCTCTGTAGTTGTTGTGTTCCAAGACTTCCTTTGCTTCAACTTTTTCACTCTTCTTAAAGTATTTTAGAACACTATCATAGTCCCACCCTTCATTTCCTACCCTAGCCCATCCATCATAATCTTCTTTATTTCCTCTGACATATAGCATAGCGTTAATTGTGCTGGAACCCCCAAGAGCTTTTCCTCTGGGCCAGTTGCAGCTGTTGTTCACCATCGCCAGACAATTGTCTTCACCAGAGTCAGTTTGATATTGCCAGTCATATGAAGTCTTCTGCAGCGCACCGTACAATCCTGGGATTTCTGTTGATTTTGCTGGATTTCCTCCAGCTTCCAGCAGCAGGATTCTCCAGGAAGGTACCTCGGATAACCTGTTTGCAATCACAGCCCCTGCAGATCCTGATCCTACGATGATGAAATCGAACTCTTCCCCATCCTGAGGTCTATAGTGGTCTGGATAATCTGATGGGTTTGCCAATGAACATTCTGCTTCTTTGACCGATGAGTGTATGTCTTGTATTACGTAGCTGGCCAAGTCTTCTATGTTATGGGTTGAACATGTCTCTTGTACTGGTAGTGTGAATTTTTCTCCTTCCATGGCTCTGGAGAAAAAATCTCAGCGTTAACTTACTTCATACTGACATTAACCACTTCCAAAAAAGCAATATTGTATACAAATAATTTACCCTAAAAAAAATGTATAAATAAAAAGCACATAGATAGTTTAATTTGTTTCAAACAATATTCTGCAAAGCACAAATTTTTTCACAGAAATACACACTATCTCAGTGTAAGCCTAAGGCTTATCACGACATTTTCCACCTCTATCTTATCACTCTAACTTTGCAGCAATGGCTTTCCCGAGTGACTACCTATCCTTACTGTATGAAGGTATTCAGCAGAAGGGTTTTTTGTTTCTCTTTTGCAGGGCCATTGGCATTTTCTAATGTATTTTGTGAGGCAACAGCCCAAACCCAGATCTTTTTGTTCAGAGGCATTGTTAATCAATAGCCCAGTGACAAAATTACGTCTATGTCCACAATTGATGTCCTACTCGGCATCAAGATAGCAACCTTCGGTTATTAAGGCAAGAATTATAAATACAACAAACATAAGTGTTTGCATGGTTCTTGACTATTAGTTATTAAAAACCAGTTTAAAACTATTTCAATTGTTAATATTTTTTATGTGTATGTATCAAAGTTGTATGCTGTTTGCTGTAGGGTAGTTGTCATTCATGTAATTTATGTTATTGCCTTATGTAATTTGCTATTAAGCTGTATAAGAGCACTTAATAAAGGATTTTGAATTCGAATTTTGAAGAGGTTTGAGAGGGGCTTCCCCGCAAAGAGGAGTGAATTTTACAATTCAAATGCAAACTAATGAGTTTGAATTTCCAGTATGTTTTTTTTTTTTTTGAGAGAGCTTTCTCTTTATTTACATATAATTAAATTATTTTATTTATTTATGATTTTCAAATATCTACCAAAATTTTAGGTAGGCCTGGGCCTACCTGGCCTGCCCTCTGGAGCCGCCCCTGCGACACAAGCCCTATAACAGTTACTTAAACAATCAATTGCTTGTTGCGGCATTTAAATTTTTTATTAGTTTCTTTTAGTAGCCTAATTTGAATGTTTTATCACTTAAATTATTTATTGATTTTAGGTTAGTCTTTTGCCTGAGCCACTGTGATAATCTTAATTATTTATGTACCGGTACCGTACCTGCTTTTTTTAAATTATACACAAGTTTTTATGTATTTATTTATTCAATAAGTTAACTTAGTTACCACAATAATTCTTTACCAGGTGCATTTGTCTGAACAAAGGGCGGTCCTAGACATATATTTTGGGGGGAGTCACTGGGGGGTCTGGGGGTATGGAATACCCCCCAGCAAAGAAGGGGGGTCCGGGGTTCCCCCCCAGGAAAATTTGGAAAAAACGTGCTAAAATTAGTAGTTTTTAAGCTTTTTTGAGGACCTAGTTAATGTGTTCAAGCTTCCCAGTTTATTTTTTAAAGGTCAACAAAATGTTAAAAAATAAACTTGTATAATGTCATGTTTTTTTTTTTATTATTGAGACTTGTGGTTTTAATATCAAAGGAATACCGCAACATTACAACACATTCAAGCATGATTGATTTACATAAACACCCTTTCAACTGGTGCCAATGTGCATGCTAAACAGAAATTGTCCAAAATCAGACCATGATTTTGAACCAGAGAACTTATTTCATCTAAGAAGTGTTTAAGAACTAGCACCCAAAACACGACTGCATTATACCTGCCCAGCAAGCAACAGGTAACCTACACAAAGTACACTACCCAACTAACAATGCCGTCGGCGTCTCGTCACTGCTACCGCCTGAAGAGTTGGTTCTCAGTGTTCTAATTTTTTCCATGTCAGTGGCATTTTACAAGGTGTCAATGTGAGGATAAAGTTTTTGTGGTTGTGAGTAATTGTGCCGGGAATTAAATCCGTCCCTTCCGCATCTAAGTCTGAGACACTACCATTTTGTTGTTGTTTCGTGGCTAGCAACATACCAATTGGATAGTGTTATTCATGATATCAGGTGCTCTAAATATGAATTATATTTAATATTGCTGCCATTTTGATTAGGGGTGCAATATTGACCTCTGGTTTGCGTCTTTCAATCTCTCTTGATAAACCTTTCAAAATGAGGGGTCACATGATAGGTGTTTACATTTGAAAATTTGGGGCTGCCCCCAAAATACCCCATTTTGGGGGGCTGGGGCAAAGTTGTAATTTTGATGAAAAAGTGCAATTTTTTATGTTGTAAATATTTGCCGAGTTTTGTTTTCGTACTGCATCGCTTTAAAAAGTTAACTGGGGGGTTCCAGACTTTTGCCTAACTCTGTACCTATATTTTTGTTTTTAAATGTTCAAATATCCATTTTTATATTCTGACGCTTTTTTGTTGAGTCCGAACTAAAAGAAAATAAATAGGTTCACTGATGTCAATCTTATATAGGTAGTGTTTCCGATTACTATTACAGTTTCTAGGATCGATGTCTCATTATCACCTGGATGCCTCATTAGTATCAATTGATATGTTCTATGTTAAATCTTTGCCTTTGTCACGAAATAAAATAACCACAAACATATGGGGTATAGTGACATACATACGCCTAAAATTTTCACACGTGATATTTTACTGGTTTGACTTGTGAAATTTAAAAAAAATCCGGAATGTATGCGGAAGAATGCTGATGCTGTGCGCAAAATTATACAACTGAAGCCAGGTTTGAATGAGTCATCCTTGGCCTTGAAATTCTGACCATGGGAAAGGGGTATACACGGGGTGGGGGGTCTTATTGGGTAAAAAATAGTTTTTTCTCATTTTTGACCAATCAAAACACCAAAATTTCCCAATTTCTCTCTAGACCTTTTCAAAGAGCTTAAAAAAATAATTTAGTAGGCTATATTAAAGTGTATTTGAAAATTCCCATTCTTATGGAGAATGTTGTCAAATGTTGTAGTTTGCTTGTTTATGGATATATTTTGATCAAACTTGCTAAATTTATTTATTTAATACTAAGCTATTAATATTTTCCTAAAAACACACACTTTATTAGTTTACCTGTAGCAGCAAACCTAGGTACTCTTTAAACCCTAGTGTTATTTAAATAGATTTAATTAAAAATCTATTAATGCAGATGGAAATCTGCTTAGTCAGCAGTTTTGCTACGGCAGGGTATTTAAACTTAAGACATTGTTGCTTACATAATTCAACAAGCTAAACTACATTAAATGTTGTTCAGATTTTCGAAAATTCTCTACAGTCTACGCTTTAAAAAATTTATACACTTACCCACAAAAAATGTGTAAAAGAGCGGAGAAAATAATAAAATATTTCTTCATTGCAATAAGTGTCACCAGTTTACTACAAAACAGACAAAAAATAACTTTAGTGATTTTAAATCAAACAAACCAGTATAAAACAAATGTGAAGCATTATAATTCGAAACAATGATAACACCAACTAAACCAAACAACCAAAAGGGTAAAGGTTAAAGAAGTCATTCAAGATAAAACAAGGAGAATGACTGAACACAGCATACATATAACTCAATACATATCAATCCACACATATCACATATCAATACACATCAATACATATAAGCATACTTTCTGGAATATTTTATTTTTGCGACAAGTTTTCAAAAAGCGACTTTTAAGGCGCTCTCACTCGCACACACTCTCCATCTCTCTCTAAACTCCCTTTTGCCACGCTCGGTAGAATTCATCTTGTCTTGGTCTTGTTCGGGGAAATGTTGGAGTGAAGTTTTGCTTATATTAATCTCCCTTCTCCCTTCTACCTGCTCGGTTCGGGGTCTTGATCGGGGAAAAGATCGATAATGTGTCACCGCCTTAAGTTGACAGAGTTTGATACACAGTTTTTGTATTATTTCCATTGTAATCAACCTTAAAGTTAAGAATATAATGGAAACTCCATGTACGGTATCAAAACTTAAATTTATTTAATTAAAATAAATAACTTCTTGATCAGCATTGTAGGCTACACGTTATTAAATTTACGGAAAGTAAATACAAGAAACGTCTTATAACACTTAAAACATATATTTACGCTTATACTGTTACTCACAAGACGGTAAATATACAAAACAGATGGTAAGTGGTACAAGATACCACTTACCATCTGTTTTGTATATTTACCGTCTTGTGAGTAACAGTATAAGCGTAAATATAAGTTTTAAGTGTTATAAGACGTTTCTTTTATTTACTTTCCGTTAATTAAAATACAAAATTGATGGTAAAAAGAAAAGAAAAGGTTCACAATAAAGTTTACAAAGAGTGGGAATGAATTTACTAGTTTAAAGCTTTAGGCTAAGCCTATTACAATAATTATAACTTAGGTTCAGGTGTTATAACTTATTGCATGGATCTTTATCTCAGATGGGGTGATCGAGCGGCATTTGAATTTAATCTTTTGATTATAATATAGCCTAATAAAATTTGGTTTTGAAATATAAATCATATTCAAATAATTTTCTGTGTGGTTGAATTAATTAAAGTTCTGAATCAGCTTCTATTAGTTTCTTGACTTTGAATGTTAGTATTTAAATGTTCCAAAAATTAGGCCTAAAAATGTTCTAATGGCTTCCAAGGAAAGAAAATGTTTACTGGAGTGATTTCACCAAAAATTGATGTCTTCTTCAGGTAAATTTCTTGATGTAGTAATTATTAATGTTCTTAACAAGGACGGTTCTTCTTTAATCGAATTTCAATAATTTAGGTTCAAATATAGGCACTTTTTTATAAATTTTAATATTAAAATAGGCAGTTCACAATTTATATCTTCATTTAGCTCAGCTCTCTTGGAAGTCATGAAGGTTTGATGCATTGTTGCACTCACACATGTCAATGCTGACTTAATCACAGAGAATTGTAGGCCACTGTTCACACATACAGTATATTATAACAATTTTAATTTGCTAGAGAGCTAAAATTGAATTTTGGAAAGGTTTTTAAATAAAATTATATTGAATTTGAAGCAATTTTGTTACAAAAAATAAAGGCTATTGTATATTTACATGAAATTAGGTTATTTGAAAATGTTCTATGTTATATTGTATTACATTGATTACCTATTGGTCTGCATGGACAATTAATTATTATGGTTTGAAAAAGGATTGACATTTAGATAAAATGAAAAACATATGGTGAAAATTAAATTATTCTATTGAAAAATATCAGTGGAAATATTGAATTGTTACACCATAGTAACAATTATAAGTTGAAAACAATAACAAATAAATTCTAACCAGCTGACATTTAGTAGTTTATAACTATGCCATTCAGAATGACTATATCTAACTACATCAGACAGAACTATCTAAGAATTATAAAGATCCAAACCCTAATTCTACTACTTTTATTTATCACCATTGGATTTGTGATCTTTTATTATGGAACTCGTCACAATTAATTATGAAATTATCTTCAAGAACTCAACCATCGAGATCGTCCAACCGAAGAATCACTGCATCAAACAAGTTTGTAGACCTTCAGTTTGCGACACCGTCGATATGGACTTTGGTGTTCTAACAGCGTACAACTGCTGCAACTGTTCTGGCCTTCCTTTCACCTTCGCCACCATTGAAGAAAATTTAATTGGCAATTATGCTATCGTGTGTGATGTCCCAAAAAGCATGGAAAACTACTCCATTTATGACATCCAATCGATTGATAAGCCACCGCATCTTCGTGGAGTATGAAGAGGACCAACACCTCGCCATCGCTTGTCTTCCACATCATTGGGGTAAAAGTTTGATAATATTGGAATGAGTTGAGAGAGTTTGATACACAGTTTTTGTATTGCCATACTAACAATTAATTATAAATTGAAAACAATAACAAATAAATTCTAACCAGCTAACATTTAATACGTTAATTTAATCCATGCCTTGGCACAACTTGTCTAATGTGAAATTTAATCACTCAGGTTTTGATCTCATAATAGTCTTTCAATGACAATGACATTTCCCCCTTTCACTAACACGTACAAAACAACAAATGTACACAATTCATATTAGTACTTTTCATTTTAGTTGGTTAAGTTGATTTTTAAAATGCAATACATACAACAAATTAGTCATAGTCATAGCCACATTAGCCTATTTAACAGATTAATTATTAGTAACGGAAGGTAAAATCAACAAACAACAAACTTTTACAGTTGGTTTACTATGAAATTATATCTTCCATATCACATAATTCCTCTACACAATTACACATTATTCCGCATAAGGTAGAATAACTGTATTTTTCACTGTTATCGAATTGTATACTTCAATGGCCAGCTTGTACAAGAACACTGCCAACTCAATCGTTGTGATGATGCTGCAGCCCAGAAACAGACCAGCAAGGGACCCGACGTCCACTGAAACGAGACATTTGACTATTCTCAACTTTACCAGCAATGACATCACTCTGCCATATGCAGTATTTTTTTTTACTTTCTCCTCCTACACATAGTAAACTGTTTTCAACAACATGTCTGAGGTTTGGGTGAAAATTCCCTTTTTGGGTCTCCCTCAACCCAAAAAAGTGGGTTTAAAATTTATGTCTGTGTGTGTCTGTTAGGATGTGTACAGAGCTACAGACCACACCTGTGCCGTGTTCTGATTTTGATGAAATTTCGTATGTGGGTAATCTATGGTATCTCCAGGTTTTTTTCTATTTTTGAAATTTGTTTATGGCAATTTCCCAAAAACCCCATAACATTAAAAAATACAGAAAAATCTAAATTTAAAAAATGGCTCAAACAATTTTGATTAATATTTCACAAGTTAGTCCTCTTAACTTTTGACAAAATGGTATAACCCCATATTGCAGTAAAAAATATTATTCAAAAGTTATTGAAACTTTTGTGATTTTCTCCTATAAAATATCATAGATTACTCCCACTGCTTACCCATGATAAGGCACTAGTTTTAATCATAACCAGTTAAAGAAAAACGATCAAACCTGATCCTTAAATAGGTGGAACTTTTTACCAAAAATTATGTGGACTGTACTGAACAACTTGGAGTCAAAAGTGTGCTTTCACTTTGAATGTCCAGTTTAAGTCCCTTTTTTGGCTAATTGCACCGTACTATTTGTGATAACACCTGATATCAAAGAAAATAATCCTTATATATAATACGTGAAGGCGATTTCTACAAAACACTACTCCTCCATTAATAATGGACGGATTTTTAAAAACGACGTGTCAAAATAAAGTATTTTTTGTGTAGACGCCCCCTTTCACCAATTGATGTAATAAAAATCCCCGGGCTTTGCTCCACAGGCCATCAAAGTTGGAGTTTCTCCCATAAGATTAACATGGGGTAATCTAAATATTTAATTGGAAACTTTGTCCCCACTAATTTCAGAGAACGGCTGGGCGTAGAAACTTGGTAGAGGTGTCCAAAGAAAGGTCTTGGTCTGTAGATGAGTTATCAAAAGAAAAACTAAGCAAAATCCCTTAGGACTCTGCCCCAGAAGCCTTTAAAGATCCCTCCACAGAGTTGTTTACATTTCGGTCATGTGAATAATACTTTTTAATGAAACAGCTGTTCATTATTTTTATTAGCGAATTTCCCATATAGGGAATAAGCTATTTAAATTGTATTTCAAACAACACACATTTATTGGGAGTTACTAATTCTACCAAATAAGTATTTGCAATAATATTTTCTGATTTTAAAATTGATTTTATTCGTTATCATGTCATGTTTTCCAATATAACGTTCTGTTACGAAATCAGTGGAAAATCCTTTTATCAGCAATTCTTAAATTATTTCTTATTGAACTATCTTATATATATTGTACGGGTTGGTGTCTGCCTTTATCACCACTTTTGCCTACATTTATCCTATTATTCTACACATATCAAATATTTATGTAGAAATATCTGCTCTTATTGTGTCTAAAATCCAAACATAGAAACCTTGCCAAAAATGCCATCTTGACAAATTATTTGCACCTGCCTATACGGACTTTGGCGCACTGGGTTGGTAACATTATTGAAAATAACACAACATTTTGGCTGTAAAATATGGTACAAAGAGAAAATACTATTTAGGCAGCTACTGTCATGACAGAAAGATCATATTCCTTTTAAACTAGATCACATAATCCTTTATAAGATACGTTGATTAACAATATGTAAACGGCAATATATACGTAACAGCCAATTTACAATATTTTTGCTTTTTGTAAATGTCCCATTGCTATGTCATTTGCATAATTTGTTGCCAATGAACCTGCAAGACCATATGAACTAGGAGGCCCCTAACAGTTCAAGAATAAAAGCCAACTTCACTTCAAGTATTCCACTACACCTAACATTCCGTAGAGAGATTATATTAACAACAT